TCTACATTTAGTCAAAAAATTTTAACAAAAAAAAAACACCTGGCAGATTTTTTAGTTCTTTATTCTGTTTTTTTGCTTTAAATAATTGCACTGTAGCAGTAGGCTGATGCAATTCTACTTAATCAAATTGTGCTTTTTGAAAGGGATTTCCTGCAAAAGTATGAAGAACAAGAACAGGTGCAAAGACTTGATGTAATAAAATTCCAAGAGTCAGAAATAAATACCTAAACTGACTTCATCGAAACCTACAATGTTAGTCTTGCAGGTCATGACTTCATTGCTCCTGATGGGATTAACTGGAAGTCCAGACTTTATCAGTCTGACTGTATGAAACTTAAGGGCGGGTTTCACGGGAGAATAGATTAAATAATGACTGTGTGTTTTTCTCTGTAACTCCAGGTTTGTCCCCAACACAAACATATCTGTTCCCACACATTACTTTGCTGTGCTGACCAGCTGCAAGGACTCAGGTCAGCCAGTCAGTGCCTGCAAGGGGAAACTGCAGACCGTGTCTTTCCTGCTCCCTCACAGAGCCGATAACACAGAAAGCTGCAAGGTAAGACTAAAAAATAAAGTTACTTGTCACTGTTAAAACTGTATAGAATGCAGAAAAATAGTTGAAATTGAATACAAAAGTTTCTAAATAAAAGTATTWTATATAAACTATAGTTATACGTATTTTGGCTACTTAAGATTTTTTTTTCCTGCTGACAGAGTTCAGAGGATGAATCCCAATGGGTGGAAGATCACATTTGGTTTCACCAGTCGCGAGTCAGAGATGTTGAATGGGTTACAGGACTGGACTTTTACCAAGGCAGCATCAGGCCCATTCCAGAGCTGCTGATGCTGAAGACACGCCCCACAGCTGCGATTCAAAGAAAGCAGTAAAATAAAACTCATGCGCACACAAGTTTGTGTTTTTATCATTTTTCATTCAGCGTCACTGATTTGTCATGTGTGCAAGGTTTTGTAAACATTTTAGGACCTTTTCTGGAATACACACATTGTCAGGACCAGTAAACACACACAAACAGCTACAAATACATAGACTACATTTACCTGTCCTCAGGTAAGTGTAAACACATGGACAAAATTGTTTGTAGCCCTCGTTTAATGAAAGAAAAACCCACAATGGCCACAGAAATAACTTGAATCTGACAAAAGTATGCATAAATAAATAAAAGTTYTATAAAAATGAACAAATAAAAGTCAGACWTTTCTTTGMGTARTAGCACACATCTCCACTCCAAGAYGGTCRTTTTGATGTAACTTTTGAGGGGGTACATGCTACGGTTCGAGCCACWTTAAAGRCCTGGACAGAAATGATGGCACCCCTGAAAATAATGTATTCAAAGGGTCGTGTTAAATCAATGTGTGTCCAGCAATTATTACAGGTGTCTACAATGTTGTAATCAGTCAGTGGGACTGTGTATAGGGCTACAGTGCTCTTTGGGGACATGGTGTGTACCACACTCAACATGGACCAGAGGAAGCCAAGGAAAGCGTTGTCTCAGGAGATTAGAAAGAAAGTTATAGATGTGCATGTTAAAGGTAAAAGTTATAAGACCATCTCCAAGCAGCTTGATGTTCCTGTGACTACAGCTGCTCAAATTATTTTAGAAAATTAAGATCCATGGGACTGTAGCCAACCTCCCTGGACGTGTCCGCAGGACGAAAATGGACGACAAATCAAAGAGACGGATACTTCAAATGGTAACAAAACAGCCCAGAAAAACTTCTAAAGAGATTAAAGGTAAAATTCAAGCTCAAGGAACATCAGTGTCAGATCCATCCATTGTTGTTTAAGCCAAAGACTTAATGGGAGACAACCAAGAAGGACACCAAATCATAAATTTAAAAAAATGACTAGAATTTGYCAAACTGCATGTTGACAAGCCACAAAGCTTCTGGGAGAATATCCTCTAGACAGAGGAGACAAAACTGGAACTTTTTGTCAAGGTACATCAGCTCAATGTTCACAGAGGGTGGGGGGGAAAGCATATGAAGAAAAGAACCCTACTGGGAAACACGGAGGAGGTTCTGTTATGTTCTGGGGCTGCTTTGCTGCATCTGACACAGGAGGTCTTGAACATGTGCAGGGTACAACAAAATCTCAAGACTATCAAGAGATTCTAGAGAGAAATGTGCTGCCCAGTGTCAGTAAGCTTGGTCTCAGTCCCAGCTCAAATTCGTCATTTCTGTGACCATTGTGGGTTTTTCTTTCATCAAATGAGAGGTACCAACAATTTTGTCCACGTTTGTTTTTTCTCAAGCGCTAGTTTTAACTTGAAAGTTTATTCATTTCTTCTATTGTTTATTTTAAAGTCTTCTTCCATCATATGAGTCAGCATGGTGGAGACAACACAAGTTAGTCATAGATCAGCTAAATAAACCTCAGTGACATGAGTTTATAATCCATCACAGTTTGGTTTCTGCCTCTGCAGCCATCTGTTCGGAAACCCTCTAACCACACCTGGTGAGTTTTTTGTTTGTGTGTTTATTATTATTATTTATTTTATTTTCTCATGTTTGAAAGTAGTTAGTAATTTTGTAAAGATGGATAAAAAGCAAGAGCTTTTAAAACACAACCAGAAGTGAAATAGAATATTTCTATGACCTCATCACGAAACTCGGTGTGCTCATTCTTTCTGCCTGATTTCTCTCTGTCGTTGTTGTTTTTGTTGTTCTTGTTGTTGATCATAACACTGTTTAACATTATGATTGAACGGGAACACCTCTCATGTTTTCACTCAATAGCATAATGAAACTAAGTTGATTGTGTTTTTTTGTTTGTTGTTGTTGTTGTTGTTGTTGTTGTGTGGTTTTCTTATATTAGCATTTCTTATATTTAGAATCTGTTTCATTCACAAATGCAAAAACTTGCAGGTGAATAAGAAGAATAGAATAATTGTTATAAATTAAAAAGCAGGCCAACCAAACTAAAATTTATACGGCAGGTGAATCAGGGGCAGAGCTAGACATTTTTGCAAGGGTGGCCAAGTTATTTTTGTAGGGAGACGTATACAAATAACTCTGGATTTTAGAATACAAAGAGGTCCCCATGGCTAACTTCAAATTACTTTAATTTAGCCGGTTTACCAGATAATGCACCATAATTTTGTTTGATCATAGCTAAGAATGATAAAAAAAACAAGATAGTTTCAACTAAGCTAACCATCCATCCATTATCTATACTCGGGTATATAGATAAGCTAACCAGTAATGGTACTTTTACAAAGGGCTATACTTAAGCTATTTTTGGACAAACGAATCTGAAAGTTGGTTTAATAGCGGTGAAAAACAATATTTAGCTAATTCTAAATGTGAATCAAAAATTCAAGATGGCCACCACAGTTCACTTTAGATGGCTGTAATTCAACCATTTTAAGACTTGTTAAGGTTGGTYAGGTCAGGTTAGTTGAGGTGAGGTGAGTTGGTATTTGTTGTGGTAATAGGAGCCAACAATAATCTTTAACAAATTCTCAATACAAGTTTGAGCTGAAAACTGGTGTGGTGTGAGCTGCAATCACCAACATGTAGTACGATCAAATTACAAATTAAAAAAAAGGTTTCTCAAGAAACTTTTCTGGTTRCTCCATGTCACTGCTGTCTTACAGACTGACCACTAAATGTTGCTTAATTTGCGTTACCTGGTTCTTTAAACCCATAACTTTTGCTCACAGTTGTGGTTTTGTATTAATTCAATTTAATTTAATTCTCCCTACACTAGATAAAACTGCTGCTTCACAGAGATTTACTCCTTTTATTTATTTTTTACTTCCCATCTTAAAAAAATATATATATATATAAATTCCCTTCTCACCCTCCGTGGGTGGTCTCTTTCATCCTCTGAGCTCGGGTCCTCTACCAGAGGCCTGGGAGCTTGAGGGTTCTGCGCAGTATCTTAGCTGTGCCTAGAACTGCACATTTCTGGACTGAGATGTCTGATGTTGTTCCTGGGATCTGTTTTAGCCACTGCTCCAGTTTGGGGGTGACTGCCCCGAGGGCCCTGATGACCACAGGCACCACTGTGGTCTTCACCTTCCAGGTGTCTGTCTGGATCTGGAAGTCCCACAGGAT